GTAACGTGGGTGTACCGAGGTGCACCCACAATCGCTCGCGCGGCTGCATTCTGGACGAGCTGAATTCTCCGAATGCTCTTCAAGGGCTGCCCCATGTAGAGCACATGTTCTTGGCCACCAGGGCCTCCTGCAACATTCTGCCAGCCCAAAATGGGCCTTGTGGAGACCCTGAGAAGCCCCCTCCCAGGCTGTCGTGGCCCTCCAGTGGCCAGCAGATTCAGAAATGAGGAGGAACCTGGGCCAGTCCTGGAGTCTGGGGAGGGCTCTGATGAGGGCTCTGCGTCGGAGGCAGAGGTGGCAGTGTCCGGTTGCCGTATTCCAGGGTCACGTGACCCCCCCCCCAACCTTTGGTGATCTTCTGACCAGCAAAGTCAAGGCCGAAGGCAGATTCGCTTAGCAACCATGTCACTAACTGAACAACCGTAGTGTTTCGCTTCGCAAGTTTGGCCAGAGAGAAAGCCCGTAAAACGTGATGTAAGCTCACATCTCGCTTAGCCGCAGAAATTTGGCCTCGATTCTGGGCATAAATCGAGGACTGCCTTTAAGTAGGTCAGGAAGAACCGTCCGATCCCTTCCAGGGGGATCTCATCTCTCATTCACGCTGGGCCAGCTGGACGCGGTGAAGCCACGAAAATCTCTCCCCCGTTCGGTCTCTTTTCCTCCCTCCCTCCCTCCCTCCCGCCGTTCTGTTCCTTCCTTGTTCTTTTGCGCTTCTCCAAAGCGGCTATGAATTATTAAGGATGCTTTATGACATATTTATGCCGGGTCCCCGAACAGCTTTCTCCAGGACGAACAATCGTTTCCGTCACGGCTCAGATGAAAAGACAGGGGGGGTTATAAGGACAGAACACCAGAGGTCACCTTCAAGGGGGGGGGGCGAGGGCTTCGGAGGGGGAGGCCGCCTGTTCTGACCCAGCTCCCCAAACACAACAATTCAAATATTCCTTTATTAGGAACGCCGGCAAAAAGTTTCTCTCTCACTGCAGGCTAACAAGTCCATCCGGCAGGGGAGATGAATAGTTATCTGCCCCTTCTATTCATCTTTGATTCCCCAGAGCTAGGATGGGGATTCACTAGCAGCGGTGGCTCTTCCGTCCCAAGGACCNAATTGTGTCAGGCTTGTCCCAGCTTGGACTCTTAAAAAAGAAAGACCCTCGATTCCATTTGTAGCAAAAGTATACATTTACTAAAGCCAAGTGGTTACGGCGTAAGAAAAGCTGGATCTGACTATTCCCACATAAACCCTGCTTTTTCCTCTTCTCCCGGCCCCTTGACCAGTTGGTAAGTGTCCAATTGTATTTAAAGTAGCGTTTTGGTAACAGTCTTAAGGTTGGGCGCTTTTTTGGTAGACTTTTGCACTGGCACCTCTGGTTCCTGTCATCCCGCCAGTCCCCCTCGTGGCTTTTATTTCAGGATCCCAGCAAAGCAGGCTCAAGTGATTACGATGGCAGGCCTGCCCAGTTGCAACTGCTAACACGGCCTCTTTTCTTGGTCCTCCTGCAGGTGTTTTCATCATCTGTTGGCTCCCTTTCTTCATCACCCACATCCTGAACATGCACTGCAACTGTACAATCCCGCAGGTCATGTACAGTGCCTTTACGTGGCTCGGATACGTGAACAGCGCAGTCAACCCCATCATTTACACCACCTTCAACATTGAGTTCCGGAAAGCTTTTATGAAGATCCTTCATTGCTAATCTCTGCCTGAGGGTCAGTTGTCTGAATCACCTGGCCGGATTAAGGCTATGTGTCGGGGAACCCAGTTTGAGAGTGCCATGCCAATATATTTTCACAACTGGGGTACCACAGCTGTCATGGTGTGACGTGAAACTTGGGGAAGACTTGGATGGGAGCGCTTGCTTCAAACGCAACCTTCTGCTGAAAGGAGAAAGCCAGCAATCCATGTCTCACCACCAACAGTTGGACGGGATCTAGAAGATCTCCATGGGAGTCATCGCCAATTTTAGCTGAGCCCAAGAAGGAGAGGCCATGACTTGCTCACGCCTTGCTCTTATGGTCCATTTCTCACCAAAGACGCACCCATTGTTGTCCGCTTTGCACCAGGAGGAAGATGCCTCCTTCAAGAAGAAGAAGAAGAAGAAGAAGCTTTCCTAGGAATCGTCTCTGTGGGTGTTGCCTTCAGACTTCAGGGACACTGTGGTGTCCATCAAACTGCCGAGGCCAAATCATGCAGCTGCTGTCGAGGCTTAGAATAGTCGCTACACTATTGTTGCCAGACACGGAAAAGGAAAGGGGAGGGGGAGGTTGTGAGAGAATGAAATCTCAGGGCGGAGGGGAGAAGCGAAATTGTTTATTTATACAATGCCAATGTACATACAATTCAACAGAATTAACTGAGCAGAAGCCCAAGCCAAAAAAAATATATGTGATAACCAATCAGTCTCGTTTTGCATGGAATGCATTGTAATCTAAAAGCCATCTCTGCTCACGTACACCAGCATATGTGGTTGATGGCAACTTCTCCGATTCCAGGAATGAATTTTGTGGGGAACAAATCAGACCTGACAGGGAAGGAAGGACGGATGGAAAGATATGGACCTTGTCGGGGTAACTTAAAACTGAATTAACATCTGGAGAAATCTCAACCAAGCCAAAGTTTTCACTCAAAGGTAGACCATGTGTTTTGCATACATGCAGAAGATCCGTGTTAACCCCAAGTTAAAACCCCATGGACTTAAAAGAACCAGTTAAAAAAATGGAGAAGGAAATTCTCTGCCTGAAATTCTGAGGAAATTCTTCCCAGGAAGAGAAGGAGATCTTGGCTCTTTTAAGTGTAAGGTAGATCAATTAAGACAACAAGCCATCGTTTGAATCATCTGTGATTAATAGGAATGAAAAGGTTGGGCGTTCCTTTCTCTCGTGGGTTAGGCTTACCTTATCTGGGATGTAAAA